GCGCAAGTGTTTGTGCGCACACACTCATGGGCACACGCAATGAGGGAGCATGGGAGACACTCCGCGTGTGTGTGTGTGTGTGTGTGTGCGCGCATGCACGCATGTGCGCACACGTGCAATGACGGGGGGGAGAGAGAAATTGTGTGTGTGTGTGTGTGTGTGTGTGTGTTCATACAGCACGTCTCACATATACACCCCACCGTACACATGCACCCCCTTGCACTGCCATACATGCAAGCCTCCAGACCCACACCCCATCACACACCCCAGCCACCCTGCCCCCCACAAGCCCCATACCCACTCACACTCCACATACCCACATGCTCCCTCACCTCACATTCACACCCTGACACCCTCCCCCAAACTCCACAGACATGCACACCACCAGCCCCCCACAAACCTATACCTACCCCCATGTCCCCACCCCCCTACAATATACAAGAGTAAGGCTTCATTTTCAGCTATTGTGCAATCCCCTCTGTGTACACTACACAAACACATGTAAATCAGGACAAAAATATTTTTTGAAATCAAATTAATGTTGTAGATGTTCAGTTTTTAGAATATAATTTGGTATTCTTCTGGTTCCAAGATGGCAAAACCCCTTGCTGAAAGGAGTATTTCCAGGGGCAAGGGGAGGGCCTGCTGGTGGCAAAGGTCAGGGGTTGGGGGTGTGACTTCTGATTATAAGATGTCAACCAGGGGGCAGGGCATCTGTCAAGGGGTGGGGCTACTGATGCAGCCCTCAATAGCTTGCTTAAACTCGATAAGCGGGCCTCTGCCCAAAATAATTGCCCTCCCCTGTACTAAGCCATCCAAGAGGGTAGCTTTATACCATCAAGCTAACAGAGGTACACAAATGAGTCTAAAAAAGTGCACAAAAAAAGAATAAAAATAGGCAGGCTGGATAGAGAGCTCCTCAGAAACCTGGCAGAGAGAGCACTTAACATCTTCAGAGTGCTGCTCAGACAGTATGCGGTAGGTAGGAAAGGATACTCTCAATTTTATTGACAAGAAAAAAAATAAAGCACACAGGGTCAGGGACTTGTTAGGCAGAGAGAGAGTGCATGTCAAAGCTGGAATCCCTGGCTCCTACAACTTGGCAAACAGGATACACAGGGAAGGAACAAGGGGGGAATGGGAGAAGGTGCAGTGATGGTATCAGTTTTATTCAATAAAATAGATTGTGGAGGGAAAAAATTGACAGTGCTTGTGCATATTGATTTGTTGGGGGAGGGAGGATGTCCCTTCTTTAGCATATACACTATATGTGGTACATATTAATATAGGAGGAATATCAACGGCATACAAGACTACCTCATGACGACAGTCTTCCACTGCTAGAGATAAACTCAGGGAAAACCCAAAGATAACTACAAGTCAAGTCAGATGCACACTATGCTGGCCAAACAATCTGTTTCTCCAAAGGACTGGCATTATTTTTTTGGTGCTGTCAAGGGACAGCTGAGCACTGAAGCAACTACTCAAAAGTTACAACTGGATCTTCTCGGGTATCATGGGCCTGATTCATGAGGTGCAAGGTAGGAGGAGTTGTTTACACCTGTAGAAAGGGGATGTTATGAATCAGAGCTCTGCTCTTTCTTACACAATATTAGTGCCAATAAGCACAGGTGTAAATCTGGAGACTTGGCACAAGTGCTTTCCAGTCTAGTCATATATATCAAACTATTTAGAGTTCCATAGCTGATATTACTGCTAATGAGTCTCACCACATCACTACAACTAAATGACATTATACCATAAAATAGGAAACAGCAAATGCCTCTTGTAAATAAGACTACAAGGCAGAAAATACACAGGTGCTAAATATAGAAAATACCATATTAATAACTAGGCCTAAATGAGATCAGTGAAATTCAAGTAGAGCCTAGGGATAGCTGTACAGCCCTAGCTGCAGGGTTTGATACCTGCTTTGCTGTAATCAGTCAAAGGATAAGACTACAAATTAAAAAAATGCAACCTGCATGCCAATAACTTTTCTAGACATGCTAATTACATCGAGTGCATTTTCAACAGGCAGATGCAAGGATTTATAATATGATGCCCCGGGCTGGATTCCTCATTGCCTTCTACCTCATTGACACTCACATGTGTAACGAATACAGGGCAGGGTGGCACCTTAGAGACTAACTGGTTCAGAGAGGCCCAAGCATTTGAAGGCTTATGCTGACTAGCCACCCTGCCCTGCTTTCCACCTGACTTCAGGCCAATGTAGGTAACTATCTAATCACACGTGTAGAGTGAATGTGGGATGCTACCAAATCTGAAGTTTCCAATCACACAGGTGTTTGTTCTTTATATGCATGTTGCACAAGTTTACAAGCCTATACAATCTGATTCTCCCCTCACAATCTTAACAGAGCCAGGGACATCTTGAAAAGACTGCTACAAAATCCAGTTTTTCCTCTAAACTTTAGAAATATTCCTGTCATCAGAAGTGAGGAGGACTGAATGGGTTATGGAGACTGAACTCTCTTCCCAGCTACTGAGGTTGCCCTCCTAGGGCAAGGTTAGGATGAACTGTCAGGACAGTGTCACAGAGAGTGCACTATCCCAGCTTGTGAGCAGTTAAACTTCAGCAGTAAAGGCTATCAGCCTGGTATTCCTCACCTCTGAACAAAAACATCTACTCCATATTATCCCACCTAGAAAAGAGTTCCCGGTAGCATGCACAGAACAGGAATTCTCACTAGCTAAGTAACAGATTTTTTATTTATTTGCTGAATTGCATATAAGCAATTAGTGGGTATGTTATTTATTTTCAGTCCAGAGGAAACAAGCAAACAAAGAAAAAAACAAGTTTCTCCATTTTGAGAGGCAGTCACTTTGGACTGGCTTTTCAACTAGATGCTGAATTCTTAAGTATTGCCGTCGTATGGAAAGCTATACTTATTTATCCTAAATTGGAGAAAGGAGAACAGTTTTCTGGCTTTACATTTAAGAGCATAATTTGGCTTTATGAGCTAAAGTCATTTTGCTTTAACTCTAAAATTCTTACAATTAAATAAGGTCTTATTTTTTTAAATTATGTTCAAAAGGCTCTCTTTCGTGCTGGCTCATTATTATTGAATAATGTTAATTCAGTTTTATTGGGGAAAATAATGCCTTGCGTAACACTCCTGAAAACAATGGAATGGCTTGAATTTAGCTCTGTGGAGTTTAATTTTGATGACCGTATATTGTAATTATCCCCTCTATTACTTTCTAAAAGAAAATTGGCAAAAACCACGCTGGAAGCATTCAAGTCTGCTGTCCTTACATCAAACTCCCAGTGAAGTTTTGAAAGCAGGAGTTCAGGATTGGACACAAAAACAACAACATACTGTTCAGAAAATACAATCTCTTGAAGCAATTTATTCCTCAACCAGCCTGCATAAACTTTATTAAATGTAAAACCACATCTCTCTGTTCATACCCATGGAAAGGAACAGGTCAGCTACCAACTGAATAATAAGATTTGTGCAAAGTCCATAAGACATCTGCTGTCATTTCTCCCCTGCAACGTTTCAATGTCAGTGAAGTCACTTGACTGCACAAGCATAACTGAAGATAGCATGTTACTCATTACAGAGCTAGTCTGGCTCCTGCTAAAGTTAATAAGATTCCCACAAACTTCAGTGGATCTTCAGAATTATATGTTAAGGTTTGGAGAAGAAATCAGATGTTAAAACATCACAGCTACCAGAGACAGGCAGTGAATTTGAAACTGGCATCTTTCACTGCATCAGTATGATCACAGATGATGGAAGAGGTAATGGAAGTAGTGAATGGAACAGAGGCTAGTATATTTTGTTGGACACACTCATTCTGTGAAAGAATGAAACATTGGTTTTGGATGTGACAGAAGAGTGAATGAGGCAGATGAAATAGAGGGTGGGAGCTCACCTCAAAGGCAGGAGGGGTGTACGACTAAAGCTGTTGGTACAGGAACTGAGAAAGGCCACTAGATCAGAAACCAAAGGAGCCAGATAGTAAAAAGCCCTGAGGAAGCAAACTGTAAGCAGGAGAAAGAGAGAAACGAAAACACAGTGGAGTTGAAACAGGACAAAGGTTGTATGGGAGAGACTTCTACTGGTCTGGTTGGACAGTCAGTGCACCCAACTTCTTACATAATTCTGTAAGAAGCTACACGCCAGAGACCTTTCTTTTCCAGTCTCTCTCTCTGCCTTTTTCTTTGTTCTCTCTTTCCATCTGTTTGTCTCTTTCTTTACAAAGCCCTTCTTCTATGCCATTTGTCCAAATTTGTAACTTATAAATAAATCCATGGTCTCCGGCATTACATGATTGCGGTACCACTGGCCCCACAATGTGGATGAAACTAAGCCAACCATTTTACCCAGATTTTGGAGTGGAATCAAGTTCTCACTTTTTCATCTAGCTAGATTTTTTTATTAAAAATTTAAAAAAAAAAACAAGCAAAAAAGATCTTTTTATATGAGTATCTTCAAATGGACATTAAGAGCTTGCTTGCCACTGGCAAGTCTGTTCACTGTATAAAATAGAGATACAGGGATTTCAGGCTGAGTTTTTGGAAAATAATTAGACTGGGGACATGTAAATGACCTCAAATCATTGGCATGCTGTTCAGACAGGAGCGTGTGTCACTGCGATGGGCAGTGTTACTGATCTACAGATGTAGGAAACCTGGGTTAAATAGTTTTGCTCTTTGCACAGCCATATTTTTCTACATTCACTTGCCAGAGACTGAGCCAATCAGAGTGGGTGGAAAGATGGAGCTGAGTTTTGAGGAGGAGCATTTCTGTCACCATGGCAATGTGCAACTGTGAAATTAGATTTTGTCCCTTTAGTTTTCCTAGTCTCATATTTAAACAGGTGGCTCAACATAATTAATTCAAATCAGTCCACTGTAACAATCACTAGGTGCCTGGATCCAAGATCAGAGATCACTTTCTTTACATTAACTGTGAGGCTGTAGGTAGGTCTGCAGCTTGAGCCTTTCATACCAGTACAGTACTGCTTCCCTCCGAGAAAGAATTAACTCCCGGCTTCCAAATGTTCCAGATTTGGACTCTACCGTGAGCACAGAGGACGGAGTCAGCTTATGGAACATTCTTCCTCAGCCGTTATATCCCTACCCTTGAGTCAAGATATGCAGGTGCTGCCCACCAACACTTTGCTTTGAACTGATGCTTTGCATCACCTACCTGCCATGCCTCAAGCTGCTGCGAGAGGTTCACTTTCTGCTGAATGGCATCCAGCAGCTGACTGTTCAGAGACATCATGTCAATCTTACACTTGGCTAGTTCGATTTCTACTGCATTCTTCCTGAAAAATCAAGACATGAACAATATCAGAGCACAATTCCCTTTTAATCTAGATCAATTTCCTCCCAACTTTGGGAACCATCTTACCAGTGTTCATTGATTTCTATTCAAGACATTGAGTAGAAGCATGATATGGAAGAAAAGCCTAACATGGAAGAAAAGTCAAAGGCACTGAATAGTCGGTGGAGGGACTGTTCCAACTTTTCTTGGCATAATGAAAGAGAGACTGCATTTCCTCAAGAAGGGACTAGGTTAGTAAGTCATCAGGTGTGTGAGCCCTCCCCAGGAAGAGAATACTGTTCTGGAGAGGGGGATGGGATGCTGGACATAATATAGCAAATGTATACGATTTATAGAGTAGGACCGTGACCTTCTTATGGCTTATAGTTGACTTCTCTCTGTTCCCCATGAAAAAAAAAGTGAGCTGCCAAAAATGTTAGGGTTGCAAATGTTAGATGCAACAATTTGCTCTGATATTTGCATTAACCATATCCAATCCATCTACAATTGCAACTCCATTCCACTGGTCTGACAAAAGCAGTCTAGGCATTGTTTATGTTACAGGCAGAGTTGCTAATGCCACCTAAACTTAAATTGCCCAACAGCTCCCATCAAAAGACACTTTGCTGTTGTTTATAAAACTCTGCCAAACTTAAACAACTGTTTGTGCTGAAATTTTCCATGCCAGATGTCTGCCTTGGGCTGAATTTTTCTTTCAGCCCCTTGTGAGTAGTGGAAAATACATTATTTTGCCCATGTTAAAATATTCTTTTAACTATTGCACTGGAGCTCTAAGGCATTCATGCTTTGAAGTTGGGGGGGGTTCATATTTGGCAGATGATGATACCTAGGTGCCAGAGACCTGCTTGTTTACACCTGTGCACATACCTATATGCTCATCTCCAGCACTTTACTCATTGTCTACATTTGCTTACAGCTACTGCTGCACATATCCCCTCCATTAGGGTAGCGCACACAGAGCCATATAAACCCTTCTATGTTCACTTCCAGTATGTTCCTTTGGCTGTAGGACAATTAGCCACACATTTTAACAGCTCGGCGCACAGATCATCTGAACAGCAAAGAATCTGCAGATTTCCAACGAAAGCCAGAAGAGTCTGAGCGTCTCAGAAATCTCTCTCGTAAAATTCCCCATCACTGCCTGGATATTAACAGTGGAATTTATACATCCCCCGAGTGGCAGCTAGTTGCCATAGATACAACAGAACCGGCAACCCACACTGCTGTTAAATGTCAGACCAAGTCTTTTGCACCAAACATCAGCAGCTGGGATGTTCCCAACTTCTGCCAACAGATGGAGTTGTTACAATGGCGCTCTAAAGGAATTTGGTGCCCTTCCCTAAATACCACAAAGAATGCTTGGCAGATGATTGCCGTTAAAAGAAAATGAGCAATTGTACATGCCTATTCAGCTACCCTCTCCCCTCAAAAACACGCTTTTATGTGCTTTGCTTCTTCAGCCAACACAGGGAGGATTAGGCAATGCCTTAAGAAAATGGGCTGGCATTATTCTGTCCTTTCTGTCTCTCAGAAGAGATTAAAGGAAGTGTCTCCTCTGATCCAGAAAAAAACAAAACACAAGCATTTTTGCCCCTGCTTTTCTTCCTTCAGTGCCTGGTGACCTGAATTCTTTGTTCCCTCTTAGCCTGCCAAAAACCCAGCAGTGCAATGGGGAAAGGAACTGGCAGAGTGGGGCACTAAAAAAAAAAAAAGTGAAAAAAACAACCTAGGCAAAAAATACTAAAATCAGGTCAGTTAAAAGGGTGGGGGGGAAGGCAGAGAGGAGGTAGTAAGGGGGTTGTACAGAGGACCCAGAGTAAAAGAAGGGAAGGAAAGCAAAAGTAGCCAGGAGCAGAAGAATAGGATGGGTAAAATAAGGAAAAAGGACAGAAACAACTAAGGAACCAGAGGGATTATAACAGCAGAGTTGCAAAGAGGAATTACAGCAAAACAGAAGGAACATGCTGGAGAAGGTACAGTAGCAGATACATGTAGGGAAAGGAAGCAAGGATTATTTGGCTAAAAGAGAAAAGGAAAAATAAGATGAATGGGGCCAGTCCACATAGTACCTCCTTCTTAAATGGGCAATAGCCATCCCTGGGCTTGTCGAAACGATCTGTCCTTAAAATCTCCAGAAACATGATTTCCAGAGTTTCTTTTATATGAGAAGGAGCAGAACTGTCAATTACAGACAACTGGTGTGGTCAAGACCTTATGCCCCGTCACAGACACTCAGAAATAGTGGGAGGACTGATTGCCAATTTACTGGTAGCAGTGCAGCAACAAAGCTACCCCAAAAGCACCTACTGCCTTGAACAAACTGATGGGGAAATCCTGAGACTGTAGCCCTTCTCTAGTCTCTGGATTTAGATGCAAGTCTGATTACTTGGCAATGGCCTCATCTCGATCCCTGATGGCCTTCACAAGCTGTTCATTTATCTCTTTATCTTCAGTTGACCCTCGAAGTCTATCCCTTTCTTCTTTCAGTGCAGTCATTTCCACACTCAGCAGTGTCACCTGTCACAAAAAGAAAGGAGCTCTATAAAACATTTGTTCTCTCTCTCAGATTAATTTACCCCTGGTGAAAAGTGCAGACTGACAGACTTGAAAACAAAAATTCTCTATTCCCAAAGGAAGCAGCACAAATAGTGGGTGGCTGCTTTTGTACTTGTGAGTTTTCAGGCTCCAGGCTCAGACTTTTGCTTCTGCTAAGGCTGCCAATGAAGGTAATAACTGAAGTGCTGATAACCTTCCTGTGAGGAACAAGGCTGAAACTTGCCAACTGATGTGGTGTCACCAGCCATCAAATGACAACAACTCTCCTCAGTTGCATCTAAAATTGGTCAGGGTTAGCATTAAAGGTCATTGTAATGCTCATGGTCATTGTAATGCAGGTAAATGCTCCACTCCAGTTGACATGATCGACTATAAGGTAGGAACTGTGATCCCATGATCTTAACTGCATAAGAGCCACTGAAGTTTCATTGTAGAAATGTTACCTCCTCAAAGTGGCTCATGTAACTCAAATGTGATTTAAGGCTGCAGTCTGGTTTCTCTTTTCTTGATGTTATTATGGATCAAATTTTCACAAACAGTCATCTGGAAGTAGCAGAGATGTTTCCCTGCCACCACCTCTTTAGAAACAGTAAGAAGTTAAATACAAACTTATTTGAGAGTGGTGACATGAAAAAAACCACCCATTCAGCTCAGAGGAATGGGTTACTAGCACACATCAGCATCTTAATTAGATGGTAAATACATGTAAAACTACTAATCTGAGACATTAGTTACCCTTTGTTCTAGTCCAAAGTGAATAAAAAGGGTGTCAAATCATGAGAAAACTGCATTAGCACAACTCTGCAACTACTGGACACATCTAGCCTCCCTATCTACAAGACGCATGCTCCATTACTAAACTTACATCATTACCACCTTGGAAACCTTTTATAATGCAACCTAATTCTTGTGTCTGAATATTGGCAATCCACAGAATCCTCATATAAACCTTTGGAAGAAGCAAGACAGGCAAACGGTATTCACCACTTGGATACTCCCATTGATTCAGCAGAACCCAGATATAGGGTTAGGCTCTTTGCTCACTGTAAAGATGCAGGTCTACAGACTAACTGGGGATACACAGAGCTGTGACAGACAGCTGTGTTGAACCACTAAGGTGCTCCAGCTGTCTGCTGCAGCTTTTCATTTCAAAGGCACCATTCTTGGATCAACTGTATAGGACTGCTGATGAGCTGCAGCTGAGTGGAGGAGCAGTGCCCTGTGAAGTAAAGGCAGTAGCAGACAGCCAAGTGTCTTGTGCATAATTTGGAAAACCACTGCAAATTAAGAACTACCTGCACATGAATAATCTGTGTCTTAATGTACTAGAATGGCAGAGGGGATGCATATCCCATGAACATGCTTCTGGGCAGGACCAGACTGGGGCAGGGATCATATACACAAAAATCTGCTTTTGAAGATGGTGATGTGACAAATAAGGGAACAACTGTGAGGGTGTTTTCAGTGATGGCTCTTAAGTCTTCATTTCCAGGCCAGAAGTAAGACACATTCACAAGACTAAAGTCATACAGAATTGGATTTCCTTGTGTCCAGAAAGGGGTATTGAACTTTGAGAAGTAAGTGTGGCTTACAGTGGAATTAACTGCACAAAGGTGCCCACTCTGGCTGAAATATCACTGGAAGCACATCCTTCATTCACAGGAAGTCCCTGGCTTCAACACAATTATTCTCCATGTTTAACTCTTTCCTAATAGCATGCAAGCTGTTCGTTATGAAACTACCAAGCAAGTTAAAGGAAAAGTACTCTCATAAATATATAAATTAGACACTTCATTTACTTGTGTTAAGATGGCCCTGACTAGGAAAGCCACCATCCTTATTTCTGAATAGGAAGGTTATTGAGTCCCAATATCTTGCTGTGAGTCAGCACAGTTAGCACTTCTTAATTTGTAAGACATGGCAGGAGCTCTTTTTTTCCACAGAAGAGGAACCAACTTGAAGGCAGGGGCCTGGAAAGCTCACAGAATGTCCTTAACCTGTAACTGATGCCCTGTTCAGCAGCAACAAGGAAGTTTATAACATGGGAAAAATCTATGAAGAACAACTGGTTTCTTATTTCACAGATTCTTCTGCTTGGCAACTGCTGTTAAATGTGCCTAATGTCAGCCATCCCATAAGACAGAAGAGAAGGCACTGCTCTTTAATTATTTCAATACCTGTAGATATATTTTAAGTATTGCTTGGTGGGAATAGAACAGAGCAGTCATTTGTGTGCTCATTTTTCTTCTTTAGCACTAAAAACAAACAATGTTTTGAGTTTTCTTCCATGTGACAAAGGGAGACTCACACTTTAGTAACTCTGATTCTTCAAGACGTGATGTGGAACCCACCATTGGTATGCATGAGCCCCATGTGTGCTGGCTCAGAGTATTCTTCTAATAGCATCTACTGGGCCTGTGCTTTCTAGTGGCCCCCTAAGAGGGCAAAAAGGATGAATAGGTTGCAACCCTTCCTCTGTTCCCTCATATTTTAAGCTCATATAGGAGAGGACTACTAAAAGCAGAGATGAAGGTTGAGTTGTAAGATCCACTTGGAAAACAACATCTTAAAGAACCTATGCTACTGTAGGATAAACAACCGTCTTCTTCAAGAGTTTGCTAGCATGGATCTGCTGCTGGTGACCAGTAAATAGCATCCTCTCTAGATTGCGGAAATTAATAGGTTTAGTTGATATCAATAAAGCAGCGAGGGAAGCTCTGCTCTTCCAAATATGGCATGTAACCCGATTACCTTATCAGGTGAACAGTGGGAGAAAGAGTTAGTTGTGCCTGCTAGCTACCTTGCAAATGTCAGAGACTGGCATATATCTTGAGCAGGCAGAGGCAACTATTTTATAAGAGGTATAATTATATTGTGCCTTGCTTCGAGATTCTTCTATTGGCCTTTTGGTGTGCCGGTATGCTCAGAAGTAGGCAGGAGAGAACCTGAAGACTTGGTCTTCTTGAGGTATTACAGAAAAACTCTGGAGATGTCTAAAGTATATAGTTTTTCTCTTACTGTTGAGTGCGACTTTGGGAGCAGGTTGGTTAAACCCACGTAATTCAGTGCCTGTGACAGTGGTCAATTGTACATCCAAAGAACCATACTTTAAGACCAATTCACTGGGTGTTGACCAGTCTAGTGCCAGTCTTGATGGGTTCATAATGACTTAAACCTGGAGGAGAACCATATAGGTAGTTCTTGATAGTGTCAGTTAAACCACAGGAGAGGATTCTCTGATAACAAGGACAGAATACAACCTAAGTGAGCAGGCAGGAGTCTGGTGCAGTTCTGATAAAAACATTGTTACTACTGAAGTCTGGACCAATGCTGATAGGGGGTTGAGGCAGACAGCAGATTCAATTTCTTCTTTAGTTTCATCATTTGAGGCCAGAATTAGTGCTGACTGGTGCATCAGTGGAAAACCAATGCTTGTGAAGTTTGGTCTGCTACAGTCTATTCCTTCTGCAAGCCACCATTGTCATACAGGGTTTAGTGGACTTCTCCCATAAAGGCAGATACTGCAAAGCCTTTGGAAAGAACACCAAACTCTGTCTTGAACTTCTGATTCAGTGTCTGGAACAGCTTCTTTTAGTATCTAGCTTCAGGCATTAAAGATTCTCATGCTGGCATATATGTTTTAGCTAGATCTACGGGTGGGGACATAGGACCCAATATTGGTTCAAGATCTTTCCTTTGTATCCTCTTCTTTGCATCAGTCTCAGATGTTACTCTTCTGTTCAATGTGGTGTTGGGATAATGCTGGTTTGTCCAGTAGTAGAATTCTGGAAATCATTTAATCAGGATCTTACAAGACTTTTATGGACTATTAACTTGTGTATTCTAGAAACGAAGGATGAACATACTTGGTCCAAATGTGTGTTTTCACCAGGAACAAAAAGACACTTACTGGCCACCTCTACACATGTGCTTTACTGCAAAGTAGACTAAGTAGCTTTGGAGTAAAGTGTCACCATCTACACATGTGATGGTATTAGGCTGCAGTAAACTAACTAACACTGCAGTACAATTGTACTGTTGGGGACAGTACTATTTTACAGTGGAGCAATAATGTGGTTAAATGCATGTGTAGCTGCTGACCATGGGCCTAAATTGTGCCAGGTTAGCCCAGGCATCATGGGACCAGACTCCTGCCTGCTGCCTAGCCACATGGCTCTACACTTTCAGCACCTTCGTGCCCCTGCCAGCCCCTCTACTGTCCACTGCCACCACCTGGAGCCTGGGACAGAGCAGGGCAGGAATATCCCTGGTGTAAACTGCTCCACCCTGGCTCAGATTGCTGCAGTCCCAGGCACACATGTAGATGCTGGGCCTGGAAGTTGTTTACTCCAGCTCAAACTGCTCCAGAGTTTATTATTTCAAATTAATTGCATGCGTAGATGCACCCACTATGTCCATCCTTCAAGGGGCATTAGCCCACTGTGGGACTGATAGGTCTTGAAGCCCAGGGGCCTTGTGTTCACCATAATAAGAAGCCATGTACACTGGGGGGTTTTGACCAGAAAGCTTTTGGTCCAGATAGGTCAGATTAGTTAATGGCAGTTGAGTATACGAGACCAGAAATCCTAAAAAATTGGGATAATTTTGAAGAAATATTGAAGACAGGTGGATTAGACATTTGCTGGCTATGTCTTGCTGCTACAGATGGTAAGAAGGAAATGGATGAAGATTGTGGCTGCTTTACCCTTTGTAGGCTTGTATGAGAGCACAATGAAGTGGAATGCCTCTCTGCAACCCCTATAGATACTTATTAAAAACCTCCAATCTCATGTGCATAAAGTTCAGACACACTTGCAGTGGAATCCACGCTGACCCACACTTGGAAGAACAGTATTGGGTTATTGAATATGGATTCATACAGGGCTGTGATCACTTGCACAAAAGGGTCCTAGAAGAACATGCCAAACTCCCATATTTCAAAGCTCCCTCTAGACAGTCCTTGGAATCTTCTTGCCTCAAAGTGCAGGGACTCCTTACCTGGCTGTGAAGCCGCTGGAGCTCTTCTAGGCTCTGCCTCAGTTTCCCCCTTTCTCCCTCCATTAACTCCCTCAGGGCTCTTGAGTCTTCACTTGTTCTCCTGATTTGTTCTTCTAAGGCATCGTCATCGCTTCTCCGAGAGCTCTGGCAGCAAGAGAAACACCCTGCTCAGTTTTCATTAAAAAACACCCCCCCCAAAAAAAACTATAGGTTGCATTAAATTTGTACCAATTTGGTAGGAATTCTAAGGAGAATAAAGGGAAGATGAGAAGGCCACTCTATTAGAGTATCAGTTTTATAGTGAACATTCCCACATATTACACAGTGTTAGAAGCACTCAGAATACAGCTAGTCATGAACAGAACTCCTGGGCTTGGATAGAAAACAGCCACAGACAAGTCACTGAAAGAGATGTAGACACACTGCCCAATCTTCAGCCCTGGTCTCTTTGCTGAAATACAACACAGCTCTCAAGTTCACCTCTTCATAAAACTTTCAAATAACTTTGTTTCCATATTTAATCATTTGTAGAATTGTTTCTATTCTCTCTCGAACAAATACAATTGACTTCTATGTTTTATTTCAGTTACAACCTCAGTTCCTACAGACAATGACACTGATTTGTTTAGCGTTCCCAACCATGTCTGGGGTTTGCAGGCCTGCACTGCTTCCTGGCTTATTTTTGTGTGTGACACACCACAATGGAGTCTCTTGAAGGCTGGTTGTACCCATGTGGTGAACGTACAGATCTTGAAGATACAGCTAATGGGAGTTCAAGATTTAAATTTAGAGCCACCATGAAAGAAGAAACCTCTGTTCCCTCATTAAGGTTGTCCCAGCTCTCCAAAAAGAGAATCTGTAGATCTCCTTCATGATATCAGTCACCAGGCTGAGGAAAGAAGCTGATCTCAGAAAATTACAGCATCCCAAGACAAATAGGTGCACCTGTGTGCTAACAATCCTTTCTCCAGGCATAGGGGCCACATTTAGTGGTTTATCACAGAAACATACATCTAACCATATTACAGAGATATTCTCAGATAACTCTTAAATATGACTTAATACTCACAGGCCTCTTGATACCATTGCTTAAGAAACAGGACCAAGGGATATTGATCAGAATTAGAAGTAAACAAATCAAAAGAAAATTTGCTGCATTTTCAAGATGGCTATAATGGACTTACTAGAAATCTTTCAAGAAAGCCTGGTCTCATGATTTTTTCAGGATGATACCTGAACTAGTAATAGTTGGACAAATCTCTCAATTCAGCCTTGAAAACTTGGGGGGGGGGGGGGGGGGGCTAATAATTGCTACCT